TGACTAATAAAGGGAGAAAAAAAATTCAAGGAAAACTAGAAACCCATAATATTCAGACCCAGCAAAACAATCCCTCTCTTTACAGAGGGAAGGCTTGCGGTATCTGATATATAAGGACTCCAGAATCTTGAGCTGATATAAAGAGTGGGACCTTGATAGAATAGAAAAACGGTCCACACTAAAATCTGTAATACAAATCCTTTTATTAATAATATTATTAGCAGGATTTGTATTACTGATTTTAGTGTGGACCGTTTTTCTATGAATAGAAACTTGATAAGCCTGGGACGAAACCGGTTGATTTTAGCTATTAAATTTACACTGATATGCCTTTTAAATTACGCTTATTCCTTGCTATTAAGTTTTGTACAACAACCTTGTTAATATATATATATATATATATATATATATATATATATATATGAAAAAAGAAGGAATGTTAAGAAAATACGGACATTATTCGAAAGGAAAGGAATTTATCATAGGAATAGAACGAATAAAAGCAAAAACAAGAACTAAATAAATCAGACTTAAGAAATCGAAGTTCGAGGAGACAGGCATGAGCTTAGTGTTGGTCAAGATGGAATGGAAGTGACGAAGGTCAAGAAAAATAGACAACGAGACGAAGAAAGATGGCTTCCTACTAAAAATAAAGTGACAGATCGATAAACGAATGAATAAATAAATTAGTGTCTGTCTGAAAGGCTTGCGACAAAGCAGTAATTCTCGCGCCACGTCACGTCGACGAGAAACGAGAACGGTACGAGAAGACGCTCCTAGTCAAATGATAATCATGCTTCGCAACAGAGAGCCGATTGGCCGGATGTACAGTGTTTGCTTATTGCTGGACCCATCGATCATATAAACTGCTGAACTGTTTGGAATTGTCCGCTGATCATCCCTCGATTCAGCGCTATGATTCATGGACAGTTGTCATTAGCAATTCGAGAAAATATATAGCTGAAGGTATAACAACTCAACTAAATTATCTATGAGAAGGGGAAAAAGAGAAAGAGGATTTAAAAAAAAAAATGGATGTATAATCAGGGGAAGAGTGAAGGAAATAGCTGAAGTTATTTGAAAAATAATATTGTATTTTCAATAAGGAAATGCAAACGGATAGAGACGTTTACAAGTTATAAATCAATAGCAAAATAAACACCATTTACTTTTATAATATTAGGTTGGTGCAAAAATAATGACGTAATAATGTCGTTTTTTGACGTATTTTTAACGTCAAAAAACGACATTATTACGTCATTATTTTGCACCAACCTAATAGTTCAACTCTAAGGCTTTTTTTTTTGCATTCCGCGCTAGATAAAAAGGAAAATGGCGGACTTGAAATGAAATATCTGATTTATTTCTGAATGTCCTGAAACTAAAATAAAATTGTCGTTTTAATTTTGTTACAAATGATGAGAGTTTGGTTAGTTGTACCAGATATTCTTGGAAATTTACCGGAAACTTTGGAATAAAATGAACTGACTCAAGATTACTGATGTGAAGTCGAAGTTTAGCACTAGTCAGTCGCTAAGCTTGCCTTCCTCCTACGTTATTTTCAGTGACGAGTTATATAGTCTTTCTCTTGCACTTATGCAAATTAGGCATATTAATTTGCCAGTATCACTACATCTCCCTGAAACATATAGGTTTTATACCTCTAGTAGTTCTTGTACTTCTTCTCGTGATAGTTTCATTACTTTGCTCTATTTCTCTCTCTTCCATATTTCTTTCTCTGGGAGACCTAGATCTGTCCCGCGCTACGCTGTAATCATAGGCATCTTCTTGCATTATTTGATCTTCGTCCGAACTTTTAAAGTCATTCTGTCCCACTTGATCCTGCATTATTTCGTCTTCTGATGTTTCATTCTGTTGTTCTAATAAATCATTAACGGACGGAATCGTAGATATTTCCTCATCATTTTGCTCTTCATATTCACTCTGGGTCCTTATTTGATCTCCATGGGATAATACAATTACAGAATAAATAATATTTTTATCTATTTGCTTTTGAGTGAGTCCTTTGATATTCGATGTAACAAAATATTTGTTTAAAAGGCTGATATTGGTAGTAGTTTGGAGAAAGTCCGTTTCGGGTCGTTATTCGAGAATTTGGAAGTCAGCACTTGATAGCAGTCGTTGTCATCTTAGAAATAGGTCAGTGTCAATCAATTATGATTTTTTCAGCCCTAAGGAGGGCAGAAATATGATTAGCAGATGACCTCTTTCTTAGACATTTTCATGACGGTCGTCTTCCAGTATAGAATCCAGAGGTTGGCAGTGAATATTTCGGAGACAGTAGGAAAGCGTAGTGCAGGTTCGCAGTGGATATCGTAGCAGAGCGTAGTTCTTCCGTCTGTCATGTTCGGCTCACACGTTGGCTCTGGTCATTCCGGTAGAGTAAACAAAGATGGCCGCCTTTATACACGACGGATACAGTGTTCTGCGGCTTCTGATTGGGTAATGTTCTATTGATAGACTATAAAGGGAATTAAGTAATTTTGACTAACTTACTAGTTATACAATATATACACAAAAAAACGTAACACTCTTAACTACTTTTTCAAGCGTGGCTGGTTCTTCCGGTGGTCGCATCTCTTGTCATCGCTCTCGTCGTCTCTTCTTATCGTGTAAGCTTATATCCTTTTGACCAGGCTCGGAAAGTCTGGCGCGAACCTTGGTATCGGCTAACATCAATAGTCTCTTTGTATTTTTTGATTGACCCAAATTGTTTTTTTGTTTTTTTTTTTCGTCAATCTTTCCTTCTCTTTTTTCATAAGGGAAGTTATGCGTGGAGCCACTCTGATTTTTGGTCGTTTTCAGTCATAAATTTGTAGACCTTCCGGCCGGATTTAGTTTTTCCTTTTTCTTTTTATTTGTGGGTTGAAAGAAATATAGAAAGGAATTTTAAAAAGAGAGAGAGAGAGATGTTGATGATCATGGCTCTCCCCAATATCCTGTCCTTTGTGGCCCTAAATAAATGTTGTCTTTTTGCTATCTCTCATGAAGCCTATTCTGCCATGTATTACTCAATCTCGCTAGTTTAAGCGTAGTTTTCCTCTGACCTCTTTGACTTCAAATTGTCCTGTGAGTTTCAAATTTTCCAAGCCCTCTTTCCTCATTATGTACCCTAGAAATTTCAATAGTCTTTTTGTGAGGCCATGTTCAAGGGTCCTTTTTATTTACATTTTCTTAAAATCTTTGAAAGGCTTACGGCCACATAACGTTCAAACAGCCGTTCCCATACGATCACCTGAGTTAAGAAACGTCATCCCTGGTCAGTACCTACATGGTTGGTTGCTTGGGAATATCAGGAGCTGTAATTTTGGGTGTGCGGGTGGTGTAATGGATAATGGCTCTGATTTTTTAATTATAGAACCGAGTTCCAATTCCTGTTAGGGTGGTTATATTCACTTCCGTTTACATACACATGGGAAAGGTATGAATCCCCCTCTTCTATGAGTTAATTATTAAGACTTCTTTCACTAAATCTTTATTATGTCCCGAAAAAATTCTTACAATCTAAAAATATTTCAGTTTTATGATCTACAAATTATATATCTAAAAAAACATACATTTACTTTGAAAGAATAAAATTATGTACAAAACATCTGTATTTGAAATCATGAAATTACGTACAAAATACTTAGATTTCAGCATTAAATAAGCCCTAGAGATCGATATGCCGCTAAACAACATCAACCAACGAAATAAATACGAAGGGTATGAGAATGATTCAACCCTGTGTATGAGGCACTGCGGATTTAGTTAAATCACAAATGGCAACGTTTTGTTTTGGGTTTTTTTTTTTTTTTTAGATAAAATTAGATTGTTTGAGAAAAAAACAGTATTATGATTTTAGGGAAATAAAAGAAATGCAAAAGTTAATTTATTACACAATATGTTACGTTGTTCGGAAAATAATGGTCGATTTTAGAATTAAATTTTTAGTCCTGTATTAACATATTTAACCCCTTGATCCCAGCATTCCTGAACATTTTTAACCCTTCTACCTGAGCTCCTGAGTCAAACCCCGCAAATAATTGGTATGTAATGTTTCACGGTAGATATAAAAATAGTTACAAGTGTTTGCCCACCGTTCAACCGGTGTCTGGCCATTACGTCATTTTTTCTCTACCACCGGTAAAATGGTGGTCAGGTTTCAAAGAGTTAAACAGTGATTAAATTAGTTAAAATAGGAAGCCTGAACATCTATAAGTTTTCGCCATCGAGTTACAAGGTTAGCTATTTCTTTACGATAAAGCGCTAAAAGTTAGTACGCCAAGAAATCTTTAAATGCAGTTTCTTGTGTCTTCTTTTGTCTTGTGTCTTAACGGAATATCTTTTACTCTTGAGAAACATGTCAATACATTTGGTAGTCAGTGGGCGAGGGATTAGTGGCGTATGGTCGATATGGCTAAATCTTGGTGCAAATTAACTGAAACAACCGCTTTAGTTTCCTTTCTTTCTCCATACGGTCAGTGGAGTGAGAGGGTGATGTTTTTTTTTCGAATTAGGTCATTTGCAGTGGTGTGAAGCAATATGAATGTATTTTCGGGATGTATGATGAAATTTGTTTGGGCTTGAAAAATATTACGTCATCCTAGATTACATGTTTTTAACAAGCCCAGACACTATTGTCTCGATTGTCTATTAGTTGTCCTACGACCATTGTCTGCGATGGACGTTACTCCAAGGAGCGTACAAAATTTTGTAACGCTGCACAAACACACTGATAAGCCTTACCAGTGAGCAAATCAAATTAATAGATTGGCACGACAACTCTCCTGATTTAAACCCAATCGAGAATCTGTGGTCAATTTGCAAGGAACGACTTCGTGGAATGGATATACCAAGTACTAACATGTGCACTGGGTCATGTTTTATGGGAAAGACACGAAAAAAGTAAATAATTACGGAATTATTCGTTTTGTTTAAATTAATTTGCACAAGAGTGTATATATAGTTGTTGGTTAAAGAAATTCGCAAGGAAAATAATGACAACGAGGCGGGAACTATTCTGTCTGTCTGTCTGTCCCTCAGTCTTGCTCTATCTCTTTCTTTCTTTTTTGTGTTTGTTTGTTTCTTTCTTTGATTTTCTGTCATTGCACCTATCACTTTTTGTACTGTTATTCTTTTACTTTTTCTTTCTTTCTTTCTTTCTTCCTTTCTTTCTTTCTTTCTTTCTTTCTTTCTTTCTTTCTTTGTTTACGTTTTCTTTCTTTCTTTATCTCATATTCTGTTTCTTTTTCTTTCTTTCTTTCGTTCTTTCTTTCGTTCTTTCTTTCTTTCGTTTTCTGTCATTGCACCTATCACTATTTGTACTGTTATTCTTTTACTTTTTCTTTCTTTCTTTCTTTCTTCTTTCTTTCTTTCTTTCTTTACGTTTTCTTTCTTTCTTTATCTTATATTCTGTTTCTTTTTTCTTTCTTTCTTTCTTTCTTTCTTTCTTTCTTTCTTTCTTTCTTTTTTCTTTCTTTCTTTCTTTCTTTCTTTCTTTCTTTCTTTCTTTCTTTCTTTCTTTCTTTCTTTCTTTCTTTCTTTCGTTTTCTGTCATTGCACCAATCACTTTTTGTACTGTTATTCTTTTAGTTTTTTCTTTCTTTCTTTCTTTCTTTCTTTCATTCTTTCTTTCTTTCATTCTTTCTTTCTTTCTTTTTTTCTTTCGTTCTTTATTATTTTTCTTTCTTTTTTTTTTTTTTTTTTTTTTTTTTTTTTTTTCGTTCTTTCTTTATTTACTTTCTTTTTTTTTTTTTTTTTTTCTTTTCTTTCTTTCTTTATTTTTTTTTTTTTTTTTTTTTTTTTTTTTCTTTTCTTTTTTACGCTTTTTTTTTATCTTTTTTTTTTTCTTTCTTTCTTTCTTTCTTTTTTTTCGTTTTCTGTCATTGGACCTATCTTTTTCTTTTGGCACTTTTATTCTTTTACTTTTTCTTTTTTTCAATTTTCTTTTTCTTTCTTCGTTCCGCCTTATCCGTCTTCCTTACATTCAGTTTTAAACTCTTTCTTTCTGTCTTCGTTTCTTCCTGTGTCTTTCTTTTTTTTTTTTTTTTTCGTTATTCTGTCTTTCTCTGTTTACGTTTCTTTCTTTCTTTCTTTCTTTCTTTCTTTCTTTCTTTCTTATTGTTTACTCTTTCCTGTTTTTTTCCTTCTTAAGCGTTTATTCTTGGTGGTTTATTCCTATCTTTTTCTAACTTTCTGTTTCTTTTTCTTTCTGTCCTTCTTTCTTTCTACATTGCCCTCTTGGCTTTTTTACGTCCTTCTTTCTTTCTTCTCTACTTTCTTATTGCTATCACTCGACGCCAGTATATTCTTTCTTTCTTTCTTTCTTTCTTTCTTTCTTTCAACTCGAGTCACTGACCTCATTTTACTCGATGGAAATCGTTACGCCACATTCTCCTACCAGAGGATTTTTGCCACCAAAACCGTTAATACTGAAGATTCTCCCCAGGTTTTCTATCTGGGTTTTCATGCATAAACTAATACCAGTGACGACCAGAATTTTCCATGTCACTATGTTGGTAATTATTTGAACTCGTGAAAACAATGGGATCACATTTTTTATCATTATCTTTTTGTTTCAATTAATTTGTACAAGGGTGTAAGTCTTGTCAGCTTCCGCAGTGTCCTCCACACAACATATAGCCGAGCATTGTCAGGAAGCAGAATTGGACCTTGGCGATTGACAAGTACCGGTCGCATTTTCGTTAACTAGATGTGCATTTCTAGTTGCTGACAGTAACCTTCGATAGTATAGCTCTGCTTGGATTAAGATCTAATCGATAACAATATTAGAAAACCAACAGACAGTTACCATAATCTTTTCTTGGTTCCATGTCTATTTTAGAAAGAGTGTGGATCCATTTCTGAACTCGTCACTATTGGATTAAGTAATGGATCATTCGCAAAAAGCGCATTCTCCTCATCTTTGTCACCATGTTTATCTGATCCTTCAGTATCTGTCTATATTTCTGGATCATTTATGTACACGAAACATTATTCGGACTATTGTCCTCATCTTTGTCACCATGTTTATCTGATCCTTCAGTATCTGTCTATATTTCTGAGATGAGGTATTATGTACACTATTTATATTATTCGGAATATTGTCCTCATCTTTGTTCCAATAGCACATTTAATTCTGAGATAAAATATTGACATAATCGAGATGTTAAGTTTACACAATACATTGAACAAAAGGTTAGGAAGGAAACACCCTTCAATACTGGAAAGAGCGATAACAGTTAGTGGACTTGAGAAACTTTTGTTTTTTTGAAAAATTGTTTTAAGAGAAAGGTTTTATAAATTTCAACCTAAAGTAGCACAGGCTGCTCGGTCAATGAATGCCGAATGTTTCCTTATAAGGAAACGGTTAATCTTACCATTACCATTAGAGATGAGGAGGAGAGATGATACAATTTGCTCTGAGCCTGATTTCCAGGGAGTTATGATAAGCCTAGTAAGAGTAGCGCGGGCTATTCGATCTCTGAATACTAAATGTTTCCTTATAAGGAAAAGGTTAATATTAACGTTACTATACTTTTGTTTGTGTGATCGCCATGAGAATATGGTTAGGTATTATTTGAAAACGTTTCTTGATCTCTGTGTTGAAGTTGAAAGGGAAACAATTCAAGCTGTTTCTATGTTCGTTTAGGTTACGGATCATTGGCCAAAATCAAAGGAGAATAATAAACGATAAGACATGACTTTATTTGCATCTGATCAAATACGATTGATTTTACAGTGATTGCGCGACATCGGCTATAAAGATGCAAAGAAATCGACCAGCGATGCACGATACAGAAATAAGAAGAATCAACTTTTGATTCTGTCTTACTGGGCAGCCATGTTTAACCGAACAAGAAACCTCATTCCAAGTTCGACCAACCATTCTTTTTCTCAATGCAGCAATTTGCAGGAAGTTGCACTTAACAATAAAAACCGAAAATATCCGATTTGTCTCCAGATGATCCCGCCGTTAAAATGACCAAAAAAAGTTATTTAATTGTAAAATAATCCATTTTCGAATGTTCTTTGTTTTTATTTTACTTATCAGCCAGAATTGCTACAGAAACTGGAACAATATCAAACTTTTACGCAAAACCCACAAAATGAGCTTGTGTAAACGGATGGCAGAACAGGGGAGATAGTAAAAAGACAAAATTTATTAAGAACTAAAAAAGACAGGAAATTGCGGAGAGACATGATCGCCAACGTCCTGAAAGGACATGGCACATAGAAAAAGAAGAATTCATTAGCAACTTTGTCTTATCATTTTACTGTTGAAATTGCCTAGATGCAACCGTAAGTCATTATTATTATTATTTCATTTACTTTTATTTGTTGTTGTTGTTGTTGTTGTTCTTCGTCTTCTTCTTCTTCTTCTTCTTCTTCTTCTTATTATTATTATTATTCCTTTGATTTCTGGTGTGTACATTTTTCTTCCCGGGTCCCGCCCAGAGACCTAAGGTCACAAATGGCCTCATGACATTTTCCACTGTGCAGTTTTGAAAGAAAAGACCCACATATTTTACATAGATAAAGCCCTTCGTAAGGTGTGGGATGTACTCGTGAGAACATTTTTTTTGTATTTCTTTAAGGAATGAGCTACCAGGAATCCCTTCAATGAGTTTATTGGAATCTTTTCCAACCAATTTGAGGGCTCCAACTACAACAAGTATTGTTTATGATCTCCTGTGCCACATGTTTGAAATTTCGATTTCAAGGTCCTTGTATTTTGGTAGCTTTTAAAGATCTTCAAAGATACATTGCAGTCTGCAGGGACTGACATATCAATATGGATGCTTTTTTTGGCGGGTGGGTGCTCTAATAACAATGTCTGGGCCGTTAGCTTTGATTGTTCTTTCTGTATGTTTTGTGTAGTCCCATAAAATTGTTACAGGTATTATTATTATTATTATTATTATTATTAATGTCTCACATGTTATACGATATTTTGGATCGAGAGAATCAATCAATATACAAGATCACCTACGAGATAATTCGAGATTCATAATGTAATAAAGTGAGTGAGCCGATTAAATAAGAATACAAGTCTTGAATCATCATTACATATTCATTCCAATATTTCGCTAGTTACCTTTGATCAGTCTGTAGTCCGATACGCGTCGCCTTGGATTCTGTACGTGGACCATACAATCTGGTAGCGATGTGTGAAAGACTGCTCCAAAACATCTATGTGTCAACTTTTTACATAACCATCTGTCCATCATTCTCCTTCCCACGCTTGCAATGCCAGATACATGTGTGAGGTTACGTACTTCTGCATTCGGTGGCCGAGAATACCTCTAAGGTCAATCCTCTTCTTGGATTTATTTAACAGTTTGGTGCTCAATTCAAGGGCAATATATGTTCCGGCAGAAAACTATAACGGTAAGAAAGTCAGTATTAAGACTGGGGTTTAAACGAAAAAAATAATATATAGTGGAACCTCGGTTCACGAATTTAATTCGTTTTTGAAGGCCATTCGTAACCCGAAATGTTCGTAAACTGAAATTATTTTTCCAACAGGAATCAATGTAGAGAAAAATAAGTCACAGTACAATAAAATTGGAAAAGAAATGCAAGGCAGGACACACAAATGTATACAACACGGCGGTCAACTCAGAAATGATTTCGTTCGGGTTAACTCGGTTCGATTGTTCAAGAACAGAAATTTTGTTCTTCGATAACCGAAGCATTTTCATCTCGAATTTTCCGTTCGAAAACCGAATTGTCTGACATGTGAGACGTTCGAGAACCGAGGTTGCTCTGTACTAAATTGTAACTTGGACGAGAGGTCACGAGACTTTAATCTGTACGTATGCCCTACAAGCATATCAGAAACATTTAAGACCAATCCGTATTTTAAAACAATCAGAAGCAAAATTTTAGAAGATTAATACAAGTTCTAATATTGTCCAGGAATTTATTATCCATTCTCTAATATTTCATTCTGCTATATGTCTAGAGTTTCTTGACAAAATCCAACGAAGAATCTGCAATATTAGCAGACCTGAACTGGTATCTTTGCTTAAATCATTTTCCCACTACCATAACGAATCTTCCCTGTACCTTTTCTATAAATATTTTCATGGAGATCGTTTTGATAAACTTTCTTCTTTGGTATCTCAAGGTTGGTACTAGATTGGCAATTAGGTCTCTTCATTTTACTGTTGAAATTACTACATGTAAACGTAAGTCCTATTTTAATTATTTCTTCTCTCACACTTCTCGCCAGCAAAACTCTCTTTTAGCCTTTTGCTTTCCGGGAAATACGATCTTCAAAAATTTAAATGCAACGTCAATCGTAATCTGTCTTTTTGAAACCTGTTCTTTTATTGTCCTTTCTGCTCAATAACGTTTTCAAAGTCTCTTTCATTCTCAGTAAACTCGCCTTGCCTGAGGTGAAATGATTATTTTTAATAATGTTACAAGGAAATATGTTTTAAATGTTTAAGTTTAATGTTATGAGTACGTTGTGTGAATCTACAAAAAACGTTTTTGAAACTTCTATTTGGCTTACGGCCGTATCACGTTGAAAAACTGGTTTCCGTACGATCACCGAAGTTAAGCAACGTCGAGCCTGATGGGTGACCGTTTAGAAATACCAGCTTGGATGTGCGGATGGTGTAATCGATAATGACTCGGAATTGTTAATCAGAGAGCCGTGTTCTAATTCCAGTTGGGTTCGTTATATTGACTTATCTGAAAATACCCTTGGAAAAATTATTAATTCTCTTCTTCGCCTGATCTATGGGTTAATTTAATTAAATTATTGAAGGGAGGAGAAAATTTTTATCACCCCCCAACCTTCTAAAAGTATTACTTACAGAATATTTAGATTTATTTTAAATAACGCATAGACGTCGATATGACGCTAGACAACAAAAAACAACCAAACTAAATAGGTAGGATCTGAGATGAGGTATTATGTACACTATTTACATTATTCGGACTATTGTCCTCATCTTTGTTGCTATATTTATTACGTTTCGGCCGTTGTATGCTCCGGCCTTCTTCAGGTGGTTGGAATGTCGAACTGAACCCTTTATTTCGCTCACTTGGGGTAGACTGTTCTAGTTCCATGTGACATGTTTAATGGATGTCAGTTGTCAGTTATCTCCTGTTAATTCCCCTCTCCAAGTTCTCCACTGCCTTAACCGGGTATTGAACTCACACTATTTGGGTTCTGTCACTTTTATTTAATCTTGCACAAACATTGCAGCAACGTCATTTTGTTCGTCGGCTAATCTCTTGGTTTGGTTTCGTTTGGTTTGTTTTAAAGTATATCAATGGGTTATTTAACGCCGACAAGATTTTTATTGCTGGTAATATTAAAAAAAATAAAAAAAAAAAAAAAAAACTAGAACTCGACAGCCGGTGAAATTGCTATGCAGGCTGGATTCATTCTCCAACAGTAAAGAAATATTGCCATGTTGGTGTAAGAATTAGCTCCTGCTTAATTCCCTAATTGTTCACTAGGGGACGCTCTCCTTACACTATAAATACTGGGCGAATTCTTGTCTCGTTCTCTTTTCTAGTTTGCATTTCAGCGGACACATTTAAAAACGTGATCTCTCACATAGATCTGCGTTTTCGCCCACTGGTGGGGAAACGCCATGGAACACACACACACGTACTTACAAACATTCACCAAAATACAAACTCTTTACGTTCACACACAAACACAAATGTTAATGTCTGTGTCACTTGTAAATCTCATTGTTTAATATATATTTGTTGAAATGTATATATCGGTCTTGTTTGTTTTCTTTACATCTTCTGTTGGACTCAATTTGAGTTCACCATTTTCTTGTAGTCGGACCTTCTTCTTGCAGGAATAAACAGCACGTCGTAAACCCACACGGTCCTTGTTATAGTGGAATACACTTTTTCTATAGTTAATAGACTCTCCCATCTATAATAAGTAGGAGTAGTAAGAGTAACGAGTGAGTCATTCAGTCAGTCGATTTGGACGACAATTAGTCGAATACGAAAGTATCAGTGACCACAACTAGATTACTCTGCGTTATACCTATTATATCAAGTTTCTAACGTTTTGTACGTCGAACCTATTTTTAGGACCGACTTAGTACAAATACAAGCCTCCACTGTGAAATCACTCCACAACAGTCCTCTAAACTGGATTCCGATCCACGTAGAAATTAAAGAAAATATCCGAGCAAACGCAGATTCTGCCCAAAATGAAACCATTGATAATAGTTTTAGGATTACTTATACAGCCCTAAAATATCACATAAACAGTTTGGTTTGGTTTGGTTTGGTTTACGGCATATCAGCCTCAAAGGGTTATTTAATGCCGATAAGATTTTTATTGCTGGTAATTTTACTTTTTTCCCAAAAATCTATTGCTGCTAATATTTTTATTCTTCAAAAATATATTGCTGGTAATGATCATCGTGTTTTCTTCTTAATGAACTTCTGTCGTCGGCAACTTGTTTCACTTTGGCTGAAAGGCGAGAAATGTGACAAAATGACGCCTTGCTCTCCTTTGATGTCATCAGTTTTTTTCACCTCGAATGACGCGGTTACAAATTGATGGCTTGCCCACAGTTATTTTATCCAGAAATCTTTCACTTCTTTCCTATATTTTACAGTTTTTCAAAATCATTCCAATTTAATTCTTTTTAACTCTCCACGATATTGAGATCGGGTAAATATTAATAGGATTTTATTTCTAGTTTTTTTTTCCTCTCCTATTATCCCGACAGCCTGTGTTGATATAATCTTCATTATCGCTTTTATTTTATTACAAACTTCACTTTATCTTATCGCTTTTTATCACAACATTCTGGATAGATAGACTGTCCATTATTTCGATTCTTTGTTTATGAATGTCGGAGTTACCTCCTCCTTAATTTTCTAATTTTTGAAACTGCTACTTGAGGACGCTCTCCATATACTATATAAACTCGGTGATACCTTGCCTTGCTCTCTTTTCCCACTTTTCAGTTGATACGACACGATGTAAATCTCTCGTAAAGATTTGCGTTTTCCCCTTTGTGGGAAGAAGGCCTAATGCGTTCCCTTCGGGAAACGCGCATAGTTATTACATACACACGTACATACGAACATTCACATTCACTTACACATACTTTGACCACAAACTTTATACGTTCATTCATACACAACGTCTTTGTCAATTGTAACCTTTATTGCATGTCAATACACATATACCTGTTTGCTTTGGTTTAGTTTGGTTTGTTTTCCGGCATATCAACCTCAATGGGTTATTCAATGTCGACAAGAATTTTATTGCTGGTATTTTTTTTTTTTTTCAAAAACGCATTGGTGCTAATATATTTTTTCCATTCTATTTCCTTTACTGCACTAGATAAGACTGCAGCTTTCAAGTGATAAATTCATGGCTCTCAGATTAATTTGATTTGTTTTACGGCATATCAACTCCTCACTGGGTTATCTAATGCCTACAACATATATTTTTTCTATTATATTTCCTTTACAGCACTAGATAAGACTGCAGCCTTCAAATAATTCCAAGAGTTCTTCTCTCAACTGCCTGTGGCATAAGACAAAACAAGTGAATTCGTCAGACTACAAATGAAGATCATAGCGTGCAAGAGATTAACCAAAGAAGTTCACTAGGACGGAGAAAGTAGCGTGGAACAGCTTTGTCGTAGTGGTTCGGGGTTTCCTGGTGAATCACAAGGCGGAAAACTATGTGGATCTTGTTGAGACTCTGGTGAAGAGCGCTGACAAAATGATCTTCTTGATGTCCCTCAAAGGGCATATCCTTGATGCTCACCTTGATAAATTCATGTCTCTCAGATTGGTTTGGTTTGGTTTGGTATATTTTACGGCATATCAACCAAAATGGGTTATTTAATGCCGACAAAATTTTTATTGCTGGTAATATTAATCCTTCAAAAATGTATTGCTGGTAATAATCTTTCTTCAAAGAATTATTGTTGGCATTAAAACCTATTTTTACACTTTCACAGTGTTTTGACACCAGTTTGGGGGTCAACCACTCTCACATAGCTGGGACCCCAACACGTGTTACCACCCCAGACCAGAGCGGTCTTGGGAATACAAGCAACCAAAAGGTACTTCCACGCTCCTCAAAACCTCCTGATGGACGCAGTTTATCGTCTTATCCAGGGTGCGGATGTAGTGTATCGTCTTACCCAGGACGCCTCATGTGGGGGTGGGGATTCCTATACCCTGCAGAAGTGCAGTTGGTGTACTCTGAAGGCAGAGCCGTAATCTCTTGCACCGGCTATGTACTGTATGTTATTTAAAAAATGTTTCCCAACGGCACTCTTTTGAGCTTGCTTTTCTGGCTTAAATTTCTTTGCACTTAATGTAAAAATGAATAAAAGCAAAACGGGACTGACTGACATCAGGTGTTTTTCTTTTTATCCTGACGTCTCTGTGCCCTAATATGATTCGCCCTGACCTCTCCTGACCGAATGTGACCCCTGGAAGACCCGCATGACACTTAATGTGACTTTAATTGTCTTTGACATTAATTATTCGAGTTCAGATTTTGGATGTCTGCTAAACAAAGTCTGTGGCATGTTTTGAAGAGCAAGACAGTCGTTGATATAAGCGTGAGGAGAGTACATGTGTGGACGTGAAACAATAAACATAGTTCGTTTTTCTTTCTGGCCATTCGCGTATTTTTTTTTCTGGGGCCAATGCTATCATTATATTCTGATCATTTGATATTTGTCGCTTTTCTTATTTTGTTTTAATATTTGCACGTTCATTGCTATTTTGTACATCTCTATCTTACAGGATTTATATGTATTTATCCAAAAATCTAAATCTGTTCATATATATATATATATATATTCATGAATTATTCACACAAAAACAAATGAAAAGGTTAAAGATTTAATTGGCGAGAAATCCATCGTCGCAAACAATTCAAATAATATACAAAACCTCCGAATCCGTTATGAATGAAAAGATCCTTGTTTCCATAAATTTCTGCCGCATTAGTTCTTATTTTTTACTACAAGCTTTCGTCTGTTCCTCAGACATCTTCATGTATGGGAATAGATGTTGTTCTTGTTTTTCTCTTAGTAATAAGAGGACAACGAAAATATATGTATTGTTGTATCCGAAAATGCTATTGGAAATGAGTTATTGTTTTTGGAGCGTGCAATAGCAACGCTGAGTTTGATTTTAAATTTTTTACAGTTGTGCGTTCGTACAAATATATATATATATATGTGTGTGTGTGTATTATGAAATGGATTAAGTCCGACTATTGTTTAATATATTTTATGCTTATTCTATATTTTAATATATAACATTTATTTAAGTAAATGCTCTGCTTTTAAATAAGCAGTATTAATTACTTAAAAAAGACATTATACATACATTTTTGTATCTAACAAAATAACGTACAAATATGTCTGTATTCTGATATTCTCTCTACATCTATCTATCTATCAATATATTCATATATATTCATATATAAAATCATCTATCTCTCTGTCTATAGTTCAATCTCTCTTTGTATGTCTCTATCGATATCTGTTCATATCTTTGTCTCTATCTGTATATTCATATATCTATTTCCATCTATCTATCTATCTATTCATCTATATTTATATCTTCATATCTCTCTTTGTATGTCTCTATCGATATCTGTTCTAATCTTATATGCTCATATATTTATTTCTATCTATCTATCTATCTATCTATCTGTCTATCTCTTCATAAATTTGTATGTCTCTATCGATATCTTTATAATTGTCTCTATCTGTATTTGCTCATATATATTATTTCCATCTATCTATCTATCTATCTATCTGTCTATCTGTCTATCTCTTTTGTATATCTATCTTTTTATGTTCTCAATCATACCTTTGTCTCTATCTGTATTCATTTCTATCTATCTATTCATCTATCTATCTATCTGTCTATCTCTTCATATCTCTCTTTGTATGTCTCTATAGATATCTGTTCATATTTGTCTCTATCTCTCTATGCTCATATATTTATTTTATCATCTATCTCTATCTATCTATCTGTCTATCTCTTCATATCTCTCTATCTCTATCGATATCTGTTCATATCTTTGTCTCTATCTGTATATGCTCATATATTTATTTCCATCTATCTATCTATCTATCTATCTATCTATCTATCTATCTATCTATCTATCTGTCTATCTCTTCATATCTCTCTTTGTATGTCTCTATAGATATCTGTTCATACCTTTGTCTCTATCTGTATATGCTCATATATTTATTTCTATCTATCTATCTATCTATCTATCTATCTATCTATCTATCTATCTATCTGTCTATCTCTTCATATCTCTCTTTGTATGTCTCTATCGATATCTGTTCATATCTTTGTCTCTATCTGTATATGCTCATATATTTATTTCCATCTATCTATCTATCTATCTATCTATCTATCTATCTATCTATCTATCTCTTCATATCTCTCTTTGTATGTCTCTATCGATATCTGTTCATATCTTTGTCTCTATCTGTATATGCTCATATATTTATTTCCATCTATCTATCTATCTATCTATCTGTCTATCTCTTCATATCTCTCTTTGTATGTCTCTATCGATATCTGTTCATATCAAAACTATCTGTATATGCTCATATATTTATTTCCATCTATCTATCTATCTATCTATCTATCTATCTATCTATCTATCTATCTATCTGTCTATCTCTTCATATCTCTCTTTGTATGTCTCTATAGATATCTGTTCATATCTTTGTCTCTATCTGTATATGCTCATATATTTATTTCCATCTATCTATCTATCTATCTATCTATCTATCTGTCTATCTCTTCATATCTCTCTTTGTATGTCTCTATCGATATCTGTTCATATCTTTGTCTCTATCTGTATATGCTCATATATTTATTTCCATCTATCTATCTATTATCTATCTATCAAAAGAAGAAATATCTCTCTTTGTATGTCTCTATAGATATCTGTTCATATCTTTGTCTCTATCTGTATATGCTCATATATTTATTTCTATCTATCTATCTATCTATCTATCTATCTATCTGTCTATCTCTTCATATCTCTTTGTATGTCTCTATCGATATCTCTATATCTTTGTCTCTATCTGTATATGCTCATATATTTATTTCCATCTATCTATCTATCTATCTATCTATCTATCTATCTCTCTGTCTATCTCTTCATATCTCTCTTTGTATGTCTCTATCGATATCTGTTCATATCTTTGTCTCTATCTGTATATGCTCATATATTTATTTCCATCATCTATCTATCTATCTATCTATCTATCTATCTATCTGTCTATCTCTTCATATCTCTCTTTGTATGTCTCTATAGATATCTGTTCATATCTTTGTCTCTATCTGTATATGCTCATATATTTATTTCTATCTATCTATCTATCTATCTATCTATCTATCTATCTGTCTATCTCTTCATATCTCTCTTTGTATGTCTCTATCGATATCTGTTCATATCTTTGTCTCTATCTGTATATGCTCATATATTTATTTCCATCTACCTATCTATCTATCTATCTATTATCTATCTATCTAATCTATCTGTCTATCTCTTCATATCTCTCTTTGTATGTCTCTATTTATCTGTTCATATCTTTGTCTCTATCTGTATATGCTCATAAATTTATTTCCAAAATCTATCTATCTGTCTATCTCTTCATATCTATCTTTGTATGTCTCTATCGATATCTGTTCATATTCTATCTGTAATGCTCATTCCATCTATCTATCTATCTGTCTATCTCTTCATCTCTATATGTCTCATAGATATTCATATTTTGTCTCATATATGTATATATCTGTCCATCTATCTATCTGTCTATCTCTCTTTCTCTTTGTATGTCTCTATAGATATCTGTTCATGTCTCTATCTGTATATGCTCATATATTTCTATATCTAATCTTCTTCTCTTCACTATATCTATTTGTATGTCTCTATATATGTATATATCTATCATATTTCTATCTATCTATCTATCTATCTATATATATCTCTCTTTGATATCTATTCTGTTCATCTTTGTCTCTATCTGTATATGCTCATATATTTATTTCCATCTATCTATCTATCTATCTATCTATCTATCTATCTTCTCTGTCTATCTCTTCATATCTCTCGTTGTATGTCTCTATCGATATCTGTTCATATCTTTGTCTCTATCTGTATATGCTCATATATTTATTTCCATCTATCTATCTATCTATCTATCTATCTATCTGTCTATCTCTTCATATCTCTCTTTGTATGTCTCTATCGATATCTGTTCATATCTTTGTTTTATCTGTATATACTCATATATTTATTTCCATCTATCTATCTATCATCTATCTGTCTATCTCTTCATATCTCTCTTTGTATGTATCGATATATATATTTGTCTCTATCTGTATATAATACCATCTATCTATCTATCTATCTATCTATCTATCTATTTTCTCTGTCTATCTCTTCATATCTCTCGTTGTATGTCTCTATCGATATCTGTTCATATCTTTGTCTCTATCTGAATATGCTCATATATTTATTTCCATCTATCTAATCTATCTATCTATCTGTAATGTCTCTATGGATATCTCTTCATTCTCTCATATAAATTCTCTATCTATCTATCTATATCTATCTGTTTATATATTTGAATGACATCATATGCTCATATATTTATTTTATTTCATCTATCTATCTATCTATCTATCTATCTGTCTATCTCTTCATATCTCTCTTTGTATGTCAAATATCGATATCTGTTCTATGAATCTATCTTTATATGCTCAATATTTATTTCCAATCTATCTATCTATCTATCTGTCTATCTCTTCATTATCTCTCTTTGTATGTCTCTATCGATATCTGTTCAATCTTTGTCTCTATATATATTTATTTCCATCTATCTATCTATCTATCTATCCTATCTATCTATCTATCTAAATCTATCTGTATCTTCATCTTTTGGATGTCTCTATCGATATCTGTCTATCATATTTTTCTCTATCTTGTAAATAATATGAATTTATTTCATCATCTATCTATCTATCTATCTATCTATCTATCTTCTCTTCATATCTCTCTTTGTATGTCTCTATCGATATCTGTTCATATCTTTGTCTCTATCTGTTTTGCTCATATATTTATTTCCATCTATCTATCTATCTCTGTTTCTATCATCTATTCATATATCTTCATTCCAAAATGTCTCTATCGATATCTGTTCATATCTTTGTCTCTATCTGTATATGCTCATATATTTCCATCTATCTAATCTATCTATCTATCTATCTATCTATCTATCTCTTCATATCTCTATGTCTCTATCGATATCTGTTCATATCTTTGTCTCTATCTGTATATGCTCATATATTTATTTCCATCTATCTATCTATCTATCTTCATCTCTTCATCTCTCTTTGTATGTCTCTATCGATATCTGTTCATATCTTTGTTCTATCTGTATACATATTTATTTCCATCTATCTATCTATCTATCTATCTATCTATCTATCTATCTGTCAAATTTATATATCTCTTTGTATGTCTCTATCGATATCTATATCTTTGTCTCTATCTGTATATGCTCATATATTTATTTCCATCTATCTATCTATCTATCTATCTCTCTATCTGTCTCTTCATATCTCTCTTTGTATGTCTCTATCGATATAAATTCATATCTTTGTCTCTATCTGTATATGCTCATATATTTATTTCCATCTATCTATCTATCTATCTATCATCTATCTATCTTCTCTCTCTATCTCTTCATATTCTCTTTGTATGTCTCTATCGATAACTGTTCAATCTTTGTCTCTATCTGTATATGCTCATATATTTATTTTTCTATCTATCTATCTATCTATCTATCTATCTCTCTGTCTATCTCTTCATATCTCTCTTTGTATGTCTCTAAATCTCTATCTGTATATGCTCATATATTTATTTCCATCTATCTATTCATCTATCTAAATATCTATCTATCTATCTATCTATCTATCTGTTATCTCTTCAAAAGAAGTATGTCTCTATCGATAATACTTATCTTTGTCTCTATCTGTATATTCATATATTTATTTCCATCTATCTATCTATCTATCTATCTATCTATCTATCTATCTATCTATCTCTTCATATTTTTTTGTATGTCTCTATCGATATTCTTTGTCTCTATCTGTATTTGCTCATTTATTTATTTCTATCAATCTATCTATCTATCTATCTATCTATCTATCTATCTATTATCTATCTCTTCATATCTCCCACATGTATGTCTTTATCGATATCTGTTCATATCTTTGTCTCTATCTGTATATGCTCAATATTTATTTCCATCTATCTATCTATCTATCTGTCTATCTATCTATTATCTATCTATCTATTATCTATCTATCTTCATCTCTCTTTCTCTTTGTATGTCTCTATCGATATCTGTTCATATCTTTGTCTCTATCTGTATATGCTCATATATTTATTTCCATCTATCTATCTATCTATCTATCTATCTATCTATCTATCTCTCTCTATCTATCTTCCCCATATATATATATATATATATATACTTCTATCTATTATCAAGATGCTGGAAAATAGTGGGTTCCTTATTATTCATATGGTTGTCCATCATTCAAGGCCAAAATGAAAACTCTGTCATCTCTGGGCTGAAGTAAACCCAAGCGCGTGTTCATAATGTTACAGACCGCTTCTAGCCTCTCAGCGCTCCATTGGTATTTTCATGTAAGATGTTAACGTGAGCTACATCTTTTGGTCCCAATATTTCAGACCTTTAAAGCTAGCTCTCATCCTGCCATTTACACTGAGTCGACTCATATCAAATTCCTTTCATAATCCATTATCGAGGAGGTGTTTCCACGCAGAATGCTTCTTTCGCAGAGATGTTACATTGTGTAACGATCCCCCAAGAGGATGCTTCTCTTATTACTACAACCTTAACATCTTCAAATCCCGAATCAACCGTTATCTTTCTTAAACATCCTCACACAAAGTTAAACCTCTCCTTACCAATAGCTAAAATAATAAATATCTGCCGTCTCATCATTCATAAATATATATATATATATATATATATTTTATATATATATATATCAAAGACGTGTTGAATAGATAGATAGATGAATGATATTATATAGATAGATAGAAATTTGAATGCTGTGATGAATAGATAGATGATAGATAGAAATTTAGATCACATTCATTTTCCTTATAAAGAGATCTGTATAGATTAATGACAGGAATAAAACCATGAATTATAAATATATGTATATTTATATATAGATGAAGATAGATATATATAGATAGATAGATAGATAAAATGAATCTGAGATCGATAAATATTTGTTAACACCCTACCGATTTTAACAAATCTATCAATATCTCTCTCTGATCTCTCTCTCTCTCTCTCTCTCTCTCTCTCTATATATATATATATATATATATATATATATATATATATACTACTGGAGTACAGATTTATCGAATAGGTGTCAATTTCTGTTGAAAAACACGATTCGTATGCCAATCATTTATTTAGCCTATAGAATAGAAAGAATTGGTCTTAAAAAATGGCGAATTATTCATTTAAATAGTGTCTAGACCGTGTAAAGCTGAGACAAGATGAATGCATATGCCCTTTTTATGTTGTTATAAAAAAGCCGCTATTTCTGTGGAAGTGGTTTCTGTGTGATGCGGACAGCGACGGTGACAGCTGGTGGAGTCCCGAAAATACCAAAGTGAATTTATTGTTTATCGATTAACTGTTAGGGCTATCATTAGCATGATAACCACAAATGGAATGCGAATCCTCCCCATCTACATACATTGTCTGTCTCGTTCTGCCAATACACAACATAAACAAGCGCATGCGCATTCCCCTTTTCCTTATATATATATATATATAAATCAGTGCATTTTCTGGTTCTCATCAGTCGATCTGAAACAAATCTGGCGAAACGAATTCTTTGTAGTGAATTAAATAGTTTTTGTCTATATCAAAAATTATTGCTCTACTATCGATAAATTAATGCTGTGAACGTTAGATTTTATATATTATTTTCGTTCTCATTACATATATATATATATATATATATATATATATATATATATATATATATATATATATATATGTATATAACGTATGATGGTCAAGCAGACTAGTTCTAGAAACCGACAGTTCGTGAACAGCACATGATATTGGATTATAGTGGTGAAGGTTTCGTGCAGAAACATCCACACTTTTTTAAGGGCCGAAAATGGTGCAACGTCCACCAAACGGGCCTCCATCCATTACATTCACATTACATTTAAATGGGTAAATAGGCACAGCCTGGGTTCTGTAGCCTTGGATGTCAACTGGTCTAAATTCAATATATATATATATATTATATATATATATATATAATGACGTACAGGCAACTTTGCTTGCTATTTGTCCTGAATGTGCGTTTTTTAAAAATAGTTCAATAGCTATCCGTATGTCCGATTCAAATTCACTTAATAGTTTTAAATTACTTTGCACTAATGCCCTTGGGGAAGGCATGAATCCATCATCCGCCAGCTAGGGATTAAATAATAAGGCATACTGGGCTTTCTTACATCGAGATGGCAACCATTCTAGAAGAAAAGAAAACTATGAATTTAAAACCAGTCTGAAGGCCCCAGTACGCATTGTACCCCATTGACCATGATGTATTACAGGACTCATGACATTACCTGACTTTGCTGCAATAGCGGCCCCAGTCGCCCTAAATGATTTCACCTGATGAACAAATATCAAGAAATATATAGCTAGGGAGCAGATACAGGGTAGAGATGATTCATGCCTTTCGCAATGTCATTATTGTAATAAAAAGAACGCCAACAATCTTTTCTGCGCTTTTTTCTGTGCTATTCACTGTTAAACATTCCCACCGATCATGGTACTCGACAGATTCCTCACTTTTAGTTCTTGAAGTAATTATAATTTCTTTACCAGCCTCCCTTATAGATGTGATCAGTTCATGTCATCAATCCACGCAAACTCGTCAAATAGGTTAATCTATCTATCTATCTATCTATCTATCTATCTATCTATACAGACACAGACATACACACACACACATACACACACACACACACATATAGTGATTTTCCAAGCGTAGCTTAGATGTGGCACAAGGCCGAACGTTTTGGGCACCCAGTGAGGATCGAACTCACTACTCAGTCGTAATTGTTCTAGCAAAAAAATTCCATAACCATTACACACACCCCCCAACACACACACACACACACACATATATATATATATATATATATATATATATATATATATATATATATATATATATATATATATATATATATATATATATATATATATATATATGAAATAATAAAAATAATGTATAAACATAAAATGTCTTAAAATAATTGTCGGACTTTGTCCATTTCATAATGTGTGACGTCATTTGTTTACATTTGGATACGCCATGAGCAGATATGAATGTACGTGAGAGATTCATGGATGATTGAAGTTTATAAGTAGTAAATTCGACCTTGCTAACCGAACGCTCCTTCGTGGCCAAATCGGTAAAGGCACGTCAAGCTAAATGGTGGTTCCGTATAGGATACAGGTTCGAATCCTGTCGGAGGACGAATATTTTCTATGAAAATTTCTCTGACATTCCGGTCTGTAAATGTTGTTAATACTGTTTATTACAAACAGACCATTTACTTAAATATTTGTATCTATAAAAAATGTATAAAGATAAAAATGTCTTAAAAGGTATATATATATAAATGTACCTATGTTGTCATGAAGTTCAGAACAGCATTGAATCTTAACGTTTATTCCGACTTAAATTCAATAAAAATAAATAAAAATCTATTTTTCCTCGGTTTCTTCTTTAAATAACTTTATAATTTTAAACTTAATATAGATTAAATTTAAAATTTTTAATTTTTAATTTTTTTCGTATAATTTAATATTTATTAGTTAGAATAAATTCTATTTTAGTCTAACCCCAACATTAATGCATTAAATAATTATTATAACCTTAAAGTCCGTTGTGAAGTTTTTTGAATTCTCATATACTTGCATTTTGATTGGTCATTCCATCTTATGTAACAGCGTTTCCCCTAGCGAGGGATGTTTGATTGATTTGAACCTTTTAAAACCCTTTATTCTACATTCAACCTCATCACTTGATAAGACACCAGAAGTGTTGAAACAAAATGGCTATTTTTGTAGTGATTTTAGAACATATTTATGTTATAATTTTCGAATAAATAATTATATATACTCTTCCCTGTATTGAGCACTCTTTCAAGAATTGTATTTGTTGGTTATTTGGAATTTATTCACATACACAATCTATACTTATATATATATATATATATATATATATATATATATATATATATATATATATATATATATGTGTGTGTGTGTGTGTGTGTGTGTGTGTGTGTGTGTGTGTGTAAATATAGTATCTGTGTATATTTCTGAGGTGAGGTATTGTAATTAATTACATTAATTATATTGTTCGGACTATTGATCATCACAGAGTTCAAAGTTTGAAGAGCCACTCAATGTAGAGGGTTACTTGATAGAATTGTTTTATGGGGAAGCGGATTGTAATATAGGATGATACGCATGATAGATGACAGTTGAACAAGGCTTAAAAGAGTTTAAGATTGTTATGGTCGGGGAAGTGTACTCTCGAGAAACTCTTCCACGAAGTAGCGGTGATTGAAAAGAAACCGTTCTTCCCAATGAAATACGAAGGGAATGAGAATGTTTTGCCTCTGTGTACATTACATGAAGGGACTTAGATGTGAAGGTCTGAACTGGTGAAACTACTTAGTTGAGCTCATTAGAAGATTTGTCATAGAAATAGCTCTAGATTAGCTAGCCTTTCAGGCTCTTTAACACATGGATGGTTGAGGGAAACAGATCTATCTATCTATCTATCTATCTATCTATCTATCTATCTATCTATCTATCTATCTATGTCTTGTGCAATTTAATTGAAACAAACCGAATTATTATTTATTATCTTTCCTTTAAAAATCTAACTGTCTACTCGTTCATTCTTTTTCCGCACATTATATAATTTTTTACACTGTAAAGGGCCCGATTCGTTTTCTTGGCTTGTCCTCGATGCAAAGGTCTGAACTGGTGAAACTAAAGAATATTGCTCATCTTTAAGTGAAACAAAACGAATTATTATTTATTATTTTTTTCGTATTTTTCCAATGAAAGATGACTCAGTACTCATGTTAAAACTTTGTATGTCCATTCCATGAAATCTTTCCTTGTAGACTGACCACAGATTCTCGACTGGATTTAAATCAGGAGAGTTTCGGGGCCAATCTGTAGTACTTTGATTTGCTCACTGTTAAGGCTTTCCAGTTTCGTATGCTCCCTTGAACGTCCATTGCAGGCAATGGCTGTAGGACAACTAATCGAATGTCGAAACAATAGTGTCTGGGCGTGATAAAAATCTGATACCATCACGTCTGACGCAATATTTTTCAAGGCCAAAGAAATTCCATCATACACCCTGAAAATAGATTCATATTAATGCACACCACTGCAAATGACATAATCTGAGGAAAAAATAGAAATCAATTACACGCTGACACTCCAGTGGGTCTGAAACTGGCCGTATGGTGAAATAAAGGAAACTAAAGCAGTTGTTTTAGTTAATTTACTCTAAAGTGGATCTATCTGTCTGTTCGTCTTTCATCAATTTCACATAAGGAATGAAGTCTTTCTCCGTGACTTCACAAACTTTATTCAATCCGAGGGTTACGCAATTGGGTCCAGAATTAAAAATCTAAATGTCTTCTCATTCAGTCCCGTTCCCCATCTTAAATAATTTTTTACACTGTAAAGGGCGCGAGGGTCACTCAATATAGATGGTTACAACTGAAACAATGTTAATGGGATGTAACAGGTAGAGTAGTGAAAATGATGAGAATAGATGATGACTAACCTTTGACTTGAAGAGCTTGATTATAGTATTCAGGGAAATCACCGACGAAGATGGCTGTTGCAGAATGCAGCAGTGCTTGGGAAAAGCGACTTGGGTGGAATTTTCTCTTTACATTTAAAGTATGGGGGATATGATGGTGATTCGACTCCGTGGAAGCGGCATGACATGTCCTACACGTAATGGTCTGAACTAAAGAATATTGCTCATCTGAACATTTTCCATGACAAAGCGATAGAATATCGATAGCCTTGCAACTTTGTGTCTGCGGGGAAAGAGGCTGTAGAGTAGAAAACAAGTTAGCAGCTACAAGACCACTTAAATACTATGAGGGAATGGTTACGATTCGTCTCATTGGCTTGTCCTAGATGTAAAGGTCTGAACTGGTGAAACTAAAGAATATTGCTTATCTGAACATTTTTCATGGTAAAAACGATAGAATATCGATAGGCTTGTAACTTTGTGTCTGCGAGGAAAGAGGCTGTAGAGTGGAAAACGAGTCATCTGCTACAACACCACTTAAACACTAGGAAGAAATGTGTGCGATTAGTCTCCGTGGTTTGTCTTAGATTTAAAGGTCTGAACTGGTGAAACTAAAGAACAAAGCTCATCTGAACATTTACCATAGCGATAGAGTAGTGACTAACATGTAATTTTGCGTTTAGAGGAAAGAGGATGTAGAGCGGAAAACAAATCATCAGCCAGAAGACCACTTAAATTTTTAAAACCTTTAAAAGGTCCAACCTAGAGCAGTGCTAATTTTTATTCTAACCTCATTGTTGTAAAAGTAAGGCATGGCATGAGGAGCCAGATACATTCTGGAACAATAGATTGAGCCAAATATGTATGATTGATCGTTAATTTCTCCTCGGTTTAAAATTCAAAATTTTCTTTTTCTTATACTGTTTGCAATTCAAGGCTAGACAGCCGAGACTACACTGCTATTTAACTCATAGATAGTTGGGAGACGAAACGAGCTCATGCCTTTCCCAAGAGCATTAATTCATAAGAAAACGCGAAAGACCAGCACAAAATTTGGATTCGGCTCGCTTTTCCCGCCCGATATCTGTTAAGCTACCCACACATCCTTCGAGAAATGATATCATCATATAACTGACTGGAGTGTTATTTTTTAATTGTTTTTGTTATTCAGAGTTTTTTGAGGTTTTTTTTAAGCCGTTGACAGAAACAACGTTCCGGTTCTTAGACGCTTTAACGTATGTTCGGTAGACATAGAACAATAACAATTAAGTTAAGCCGAAGAGGAAAATATAACATACAAAAAAGCACGTCTTATTTTCAACAGCGGTGTTTATACTCCGCTGAGTGTCAGTCGGGCCAGCCTCTGATTATCGCCCTTTGAGGCGACCACACGAAGGTTCAAGGAAAAGAAAGAGAAAGAGAGAGAGAGAGAGGGATTAAGAGGTAGATAGTGAGAGGCGGAAAGAGATAGAGAAACGAGGAGGATGGCGTTCAAACTGTTTACATTGGTTAGCGTTTTTTGCTTTGTTTTACTTGTTGCCAACACATTATCTTTATCGCCATGCTTATTATTAGGGCTGTCATCACTTCGGCGAGACGATGTCGTTATCAACATGTTTAGATTTCTTTCCCGCCAATCCTCTTTTCCCCCTTCTTCCCAACTTTCTTTTCCTATTTGTGACCATTTCCTTCTCTTTGGCTCTTTCTCTTTAAATTCTACGCACGTATTTTTTTTTTACCTTACTTCCATATCTTTTTACTTACCTTTTTCTACTTGTTTCTTTCAGAAAGAAAGATGAAACTTTTCTTTGTTTTAATTATTTCACTCGAAGCAAGGCGATAATGCCACTAAGACGTAGTTGGTTACAGAGAATGAAAGACAATAAAAAGATTTCAGTGAGAAGAAGCTAGGAAACGACAATAAAGGTACAACGTTCAGGAAGACAGATGATAGCGATTAACGTTGCATTTAAATGTTTTAAGATTGTAGTTGACAGGGTAGCAAGAAATCGGAAGGGAGTTCCACTGTCGGGAAGTGCCAGAAAAAGAAATTGTTAGAAAAGTGGCGGTTGTATCTAGCTAATTGAACAGTAACACAACGAGACCTAGTTGCCAAACAAATAGCACGGTTAAATTAGGTTGTTTTTGTTTAACGGCATATCGACACCTCTATGAGAATGTATAAACATAAAAATGTCTTCAAATAATTGTCGGACTTTGTCCACTTCATAAAGTTATATATATTGCCTACGGCCACATCACGTTGTTTCAATAGTCATGAGCATAGATTTTGTTTTACCTTGAAAAAACTTTTAAAAAAATATTTTGAGAAATTTTTTTCAGTAAAAGTATATCTCCGTTGATTGAATAAAGTGTCCCGTTAAGAATTCCGACAGACACCCGAAGAAGACCGGCGATTGCAACAGTCGAAAAGTTTTGTATAACAGTCTAGATGAGGATATTAGTCCAAAATGAAATGGCCTATAACAATGATATCACGTTGAAACACCAGTTCCCATACGATCACCGAAGTTAAGCAACGTCAAACCTGGTCAATACCTAGATGGGTGACCGCTTGGGAATACCAGGTATTGTAAGATTGGATGTGCAGGTGGTGTAATGGATAATGGCTCAGAAATGTTAATCGAAGTCTTGAGTTCCAATTCCAGTTGGGTTCATTATATTCACTTACGAGCAAATGATCTCGGGAAAGGTGTGAATCCACCTCTTTCCCCCAGCTATGGGTTAATTATTAAGACATGTATTCAGTTAGTTAAGTGCCACACGTGATACACGCTTGGGCGATCATGTATCTTTTGATACATGACTGTCAAGGCAGAAGATTTTTTTGGGGGGGTAGGTTGCCATTTCTTTCTGCGGTGGATTGGTTGCCAACCAAGGCTAAAGAACCCAGTCTGTCCTGCTATTCAACCCTTAGCTGTGGGGGAAGAAGAGGTGGATCCATACCTTTCCCAAGGGTATTTGTGTGAAAGTGAATCTAACAAACTTGACTTGGATTCGAACTCGACTGTCCGAGTTCTCATTCCGAGCCGATATCCATTACACCACAACGCACATCGGAAAAACGAACACTGTTTCTATTCCTGGCGGAAGACATATTTGTCTTAATTAAGGACTTGATTTCTAGTCTGGTTGACATTAATTTCACTTTTTAAAGTAACAGCGATGCCGACTCGAACAAGTGTACGCATTAAGAATAACGTTAATACCATATCCAAGTTTCCCCAAAATTGAAATACTGACCTATCCTGCTATTCAACCCATAGCTGGGAGGAGAAATGATGGATTCATACCTTTCCCAAGGGTATTTGTGCGTAAGTGAATTTAACAAACTCGACTGGGATTCGAACTCGGCTCTTCGAGTTCTTATTACGAGCCGATATCCATTACTGCATAACATTGCTAAATTATTATTATTTTTAAAAAATATCTTACAATCGAAAATATGTTCTGGCCTCATATAAACTGCAAAGGCTTGATAAACAGTAGAAAATGAATCAGTCAGTCCTAATCTTTGTTTCCAATGAAATTTTCCTCTTTCATAATACTTTGTATAGCTTCTAAAAGACATCTTTCTCTATTCCAAAGGGCGTTCGGATTTGCGTGACACATTTTACCGATGTTTCTTCGCTCAAATGAGCCAAATGGGCCGATTTTTCTTCGCTCAAAGGAGCCGATTTTTCTTCGCTCAAATGAGCCGATTTTTCTTCGCTCAAATGAACCAAATGAGCGGATTTTTCTTCGCTCAAATGAGCCGATTTTTCGTCGCTCAAATGAGCCAAATGAGCCGATCTTTCGTCGCTCAAATGAGCCAAATGAGCCGATTTTTCGTCACTCAAATGAGCCAAATGAGCCGGTTTTCGTCGCTCAAATGAGCCGATTTTTCTTTACTCAAAGGAGCCGATTTTTCTTCGCTCAAATGAACCAAATGAGCCGATTTTTCTTCGCTCAGATGATTCGTGTTACTTTCCTCTTAATCATTCAAGCGGAGGATAGAAAAGTGTGGAAGTAAAAAAGAAATCTTCACGCTATTTTTTTTTTAAATAAGAACGATGAGTCGCCTGTCATTTTCAGTCTTTCATTTTTTTTTTCTCTAAACAATTGCGATTCGCAACATTATTGATTTGTCAACACTAATGCCTCGAGTCGATGTGTCTCTAGTTTGACACTAGACCACCCAATTCGCCAAAGAGGAAGGAAAAAGAATGTAAACGGAAAAAGAAACTGAAAATCTTTAAATCGACAAGGAAAGAAAACCTCCTAATACAAGAGTCAAGCTTTCTTCTTCTTCATCTCTTTCTTATCTCCGCTAATTACCTTATTTGACACTCCAGCCTACACAACCTCTCCTTCGACCCTCGGAGCAAGATGAGGCCAGCTGAGAAGATACAATGGTGTGAACTAAAGGCTGCTATGTATTCATCTTAATATGATAGTAGGTCAGAGAAAAGACTCCTTTAAACAGAGAGAGAGACAGACAGACAGACAAAGAGAGAGAGAGAGAGAAATGATGCTATCGTCTGTCACGTATTACGCATGCGTACAATTACATGAAGTAATACCCAGCTGCAGAATTGTACACAGGTGACAGGAGCGGAGAGGCAAATTGATCAAAAGAAGCAAACCAGAATAAAACAAATGCAAAATAATCTAAACCCCCCCCAAAAATAATGACGTGAAAATAAAAGATAATATTTTTCGATAAGATAGATAAATAAAAACTGAGATAGATAGATAGATAGATAGATAGATAGATAGATAGATAGATAGATAGATAGATAGATAGATAGATAGACGGACAAACAAATAGAGAAAGAAAGAGAGAATTAACAGACTAAGACGGACAGATAAAAGAGCAGAATAAGATAGATAGAGAGAGAGGTGGGGAGAAAGAGAAAAGAAGGAAAGAGGGAAAATGAACAGAATGAGATAGATAGATAGATAGATAGATAGATAGATAGATAGATAGATAGATAGATAGATAGATAATGAACAGAATGAGATAGCAGATAGAAAAGCAAAATGGGATAGAGAGGGGAGAGAAAGTAGGAGGTGGAGAATGAACAAAATGACATCGAGAGAGCGATGGAAATCTAGATAGTGAGAGAGACAGAATGAACGAAATAACATAGATAGATAGATAGATAGATAGATAGATAGATAGATAATGAACAGACTACGATAGATAAATATGAACAGACTGAGATAGATAGATTGATAGAGAGAGAGAGAGAGAGAGAGGAATGAAACAGAGAGAGAGAGAATGAACAAAATGACAGAGAAGGTGATAATGAGATAGACAGTGAAAGTGACAGAATGAACGAAATGACATAGATAGATAGATAGATAGATAGATAGATAGATAGATATCTGTAAATTTTCTATTGTCTCTTGGAAAATAAGGCAAAGGTTTGCTTTCACGCTATTGGTTTCAGAGTTACCCTTCCCTTTACTCTACCAAAGCCAATGGGCACTGTGGGCAATATTGATTTACGCAAAGTCGAGTGATGAAAAAATGGATTCATGCCTTTACCACGGCATTACAGCAGAGAGAACGTAAATGCCTCAATTGGAATTTGAAAGCAATATAAATAAGTAGATAACAGTTTTCATGATAGATAGATAGATAGATAGATAGATAGATAGATAGATAGATAGATCACTTTAGGGCCGTTTTCAGAATAGTAGTTCGTGTACAGGCGACCCCAGTAGGAACAGCATGTCCGACATAAGTAAATAGATTCCAAGAATATAACCATATCGTCCTGAACTGTCAATATAATAAATTTTTCTTGTAAATGTATACCGCTTATAAAGTACAATTTTTGTAATAAGACGCTAAAATCAACGATAACAAAAAAAAATCATTATGATAGTATGGTGCAAAGAATATGGATGTACTTAGAATTAGCAACCCGAAATGATTAACCGGGGATACGAGGTCAATTCTTAAATCTCGTTAGCTGAGCAATCTGCCGCGGGTGGTGATAATGTCTTTTTCCTTGCTTTTCGCAATAAAATTCTTTCTTACTGTTTATCTTAGTGACCTCGAGTGGAGAAGAAATACATTTATAGGATTTCTTTCTTTCCTTTACTAAGTCGTCAACTGTCACGTGTTCACTTGAATGAAGATCTTGTGGCTGGTGTAAATTAATTCTCTGGGTATCCATGATCCATAAATAGAGAGAGAAAGAAAGAAAGAAACGGATACATACTTCAATGCAGTGGGAGTTCCATCAGGTTCTATTCTGATTACTAGCCGAATTATGCAAGCAGGTGAGATGGTCCCCGTGGTTTAGGTCAAAGGACGGTAAGAGTTGGTCTTTTTTTATATTTATCATGATTTCATGCTCGGATCCAGGTTAACGGAGTCATACGCTGACGACAGATCACAGCAAAGGCACGGGTTGAAATGAAGGCGGGCTTCAATTTGGTCTGTTTTATTATACGGCATATCAACCTCAATGGTTATTTAATGCCAAACAGACTTTGACTGCTGGTAATTTTAATTTAAAAAAAAAAAAAACAAGAACTCGACGACCAATAGCTAATTGCTACACAGGCTTGATTTATTCTCCAACAGTAAATAAATCATGCTATGCTGGATCCCGAGCCACATAGAAATTAAAGGAAATGCCCAAGTAAACGCAAACTCTGTCCCAAATGAAACCATTAATAATAGTTTTAGGATCCAGCCCTAAGATATGACATAAACAGTGTGGTTTGGTTTGTTTTGTATCAACTTTAATGGGCTATTTAATGCCGACAACTTTTTTTTTTTTTTTTTTATTGCTGCTAATATTTTTTCTCAAAAATGTATTACTGGTAATAATGTATTGCTGGTAATAATTTATTTCTTCAAAAATTTATTGCTTGTATTAGAACCTATTTTTAACTTTCACAGTGAGTTGACCCTAGTTTGGGGTCGATTACTTGCCCATAGCTTGGACCCCTCAACAGGCGCTACCACCCCGGGTCAGGGTGGGACTGGGAACACCAGCAATTAAGAGGTGTTTCGACACTCCTGAAGACCTCCTAATCAGAGGCCCTGCTGCTGGACATAGTTTATCTTCTTACCCAGGATGTCTCATTGGGGCGAGGCGGGGTTGTCTTACACCTCTGCAGAGGTGCAGTAGGCGTATACTGAAGCCCCAGCCGACAGGGGAGTCTTCGATTTGGAATTCAAAATTCGAGGTCTGATGATTAAGGATTTTTTTTCTTGTTTCTCGTGTTTTTTTTTTTTTTTTTTTTTTTGTGTTTTTTTGGTGGGTGTCTTGCTTTTGTTTTACATGATAGGAAAAGGGTACATTTTATTTTTATTTATTTATTTATGTATTTTTTGTAACTGCCCCGATACTTGCTGGTCCAGAAGGTTGTTCTTGATACTGACATTTTTCCTGGTTGTTCCTGATATTGAAGGAGGTGATAAAAGGTCGATATTTTTCATCCGATACCAAAGTTCAAACTGTTATGTTTAAATGGATCAAAATTAAAAAAGAGTTTTTTTTTTTTAAGTGAACAAAAAAAAATATTGGAAAATACGTAGTACTAAATCGTGATTATGTTTAATAATAAAAAAAAAAAGACTTTTGACTTCTGGAGACGTTACCCATCAAGTAACCCGAGTAATGTGGAAGAGAACTAAGTTTACTTGATTTGTCATGCCAGTTTCATTATTCTATCTTGCCTAACATTACAGAAATTAGACAACTTTCCCCTCAATCAACTTTTGTTTTTTGCTGAAAAACAAATTTAATTCAGATTGATTACGAATTACAATATATTAGGTTGGTGCAAAAATAATGTCGTTTTTTGACGTTCAACTTCAAAAGATCATAACTCCTTTCATAATAAACTTTATTAATCGAAATAAGAAACATTAGAATCGACACATTTTTGCCAATGAGAAACAAGTTTATTTATCCCATTAGCATAGAAATCTGGAGTTCTGGAAACGATGAAGTCATTGAAGGCCGATTCGGCATCATCTTGGCTTTTGAAGCATTTTTCGCGCAGGAAGTTGTCGGGATGCTTGAAAAAGTGATAATCGGTGGACGAGAGGTCCGGTGAATATGGCGGATGAGGCAGAGTCTTGTAGCCCAATTCGTTCAGCTTCTGTAGGGTCAGTTGAGCAACATGCGGGCGAGCGTTGTCATGGAGGATAATTGGTCCCTTCATATTGACCAATCTCGGGCACATACGTTGGAGCTTCTGGTGCATTTCGTCAATTTGTCGGTAGTACTTCTCCGCCGTAATCGTTTCGTCCGGATTCAAGAAGCTGTGATGGATGAGACCGGCCGCAGACCACCAAACAGTCACCATAACCTTTTTGGGTGCAATTTCGGCTTCGAGAAGTGTTATGGAGCTTCTCCGGCATCCAACCACTGTGCCGAACGTCGCCGGTTGTCGTAGAGGATCCACTTCTCATCACACGTCACAATCCGCTCGAGAAATGGGTCGTTTTTGTTGCGCAGAAGGAGCGTAGAAGACACCTCAAAACGACGATTTTTTTGATTATCGTTCAATTCATGCGGCACCCATTTATCCAACTTTTTTGACTTCCCTATTTGCTTAAAATGGCAAACGACTGTTGAGTGGTCGACCTCGAGTTCAACAGCAACTTCTCGTGTGGTTTTGCGAGGATCGGCTTCAATTAAGGCTTTCAAATATTCGTTATCAACCGCAGTCGGCCGGCCGCGACCATCTTCATCTTCGAGGCTCTCGTCACCATTGCGAAATTTCTTGAATCACCGTTGTGCCACACGTTCGTTAGTGGTTCCTGGTCCAAACGCATCATTGATATCACGAGCTGCCTCGGCAGCTTTTCGGCCTAGTTTAAACTGGAACAAGAAAATCGTGCGGATTTGAATTTTGTCCATGCCGTCGAAAAGCCTGCAAAAAAACGAATGAAGAGATTGAGAACGGTAACGAATAACATGATTCGATAGAGCGAAAAACGCGCTTCAAAATGATATATAACATGGCTATATATATCAATGAATTAATTCAGAAATCATATATAAAAGTAACATATGTGAGAAAACGACATTATTTTTGCACCAACCTAATATTAACACTTATAACATTAGAAATTTTACGTGTCTACCAACACTCGTAATTTTAAAAAGGCATAACTTTTCAAAATTAAGCTGTCAATTGATAAGTAACGTCTGTAGTCTTATAAAAGAAATGATGTAGATAAATATTTTTATACCAGTTTTACTATTCTATTTGCTCTCTAGAACTAATTGCAGAACTTACTTACAATGAACATTCTTAATTTTGAAAAGAAATCATTTTTATTTCTGTTGTAATAATCTCTTTGGTCTAAAACGTCATTTATTGTAACCCTTATCAACGAAGACACGTAATTTAAAAAGGAATCACCCACTGAGGTTGATATGCTGTAAATCAAATCAAACCAAACCAATGGTCAAGGAATGAAGAAATATGTAACTCAAATAGCACTGACTGCTCGGTCAATAAATGACAAATGTTTCCTCATAAGAAAACGGTTACTGTAACCATTGCCATTTGTGATGTAGAGAACAGATACCATCTTTTTTATTCCAAAATAATATTTAAAGTGATAATAATCTATCCGATTAATAAATAACAAAAATAAATTAAAAAAATCATTACTTTATTCAAAATTTACTTAGTTTACGTTTAGATACGAAACTGGGCAGATGTGATAATTTCGACGAATCTATGACGCATTGTTCAGACCTTGCTTAATCAGTGAAGGTTAGTCGTGGCCGAGTCGAATGAAGCACATCGGATCTAACAATACATATTGTTAGATCACTATATATTAATTGACGTTTGACTTGCTGGTCAATTTTTTCAAGTATGAGGATCCGAAAACCTACACACACACACACACACATATATATATATATATATATATATATATATATATATATATATATATATATATATATATGTATGTCGGACTTACGAGGTCAAGCAACTCAGTTCCTAGGGCAGCCAGACACCTGCACATATGATTTGATTGCAGTGTAGAAGGCTTTGTGCAGAACCAACTACACTATTATAAGAGCCCAAAAGATAAAACTGGTGCACCACGTGCTACAAGGTCCCCAAACAAACTATGAAGGGATAAAAATACGTTTTAATACCACCAATATTACTAGGATAACATTTTTGAAAAAAATTATTATCGGCAATATAGTTTTGGAAAAAAATGATTACCAGCAATATAGTTTGGGAAAAAAAAAAATTATTACCAGCAATATATTTTTGGAAAAAAAACTTATTACCAGCAATACAATTATGTAAAAAAAAAATTATTACCAGCAATAAATATCTTGTCGGCATTAAATAACACTTTCAGGTTGTTATACCGTAAAATAAAAGAAACCAAACCAAACCAAACGCAGTCAAACCTATATTAATTTAAGTATACTATCTTTTATAAGATTGGAAACTTTACCTATCAACACTCAAATTTTGAAAAGATGTAAATTTTCAAAATTAAACGTGTTTATTGATAAGTAAGGACTGTAGTCTTATAAAAGAAATGAATAAATATAGATAAATACTTTTTATACCAGTTTTACTATTCTATCTGGTCTAGAACTAATTGTAGAACTTACTTATCAATCAACATTCTTAATTTTGAAAAGAAATCATTTTTATTTCTGTTGTAATAATCTCTTTGGTCTAAAACGTCATTTATTATCAATCAAGACACGTAATCTAAAAAACAAACATCAGTTTTTATAATACTTTGCTT